GACTCCTACATCATCTGTCCCCATTAACGGGGATGAAATACCGCTGTAAACCTTTTTTTCACCGCACTTCCTTGAGCGCTTCGTACCTACACAACTAATCGTATTATCTGACGACATTTTACTGTTAATGGTATTATTATTCATTGATGGGATTACGGTAGGAATTCGAGTCTTTACTGAATTTTTATTGTCGGTTCTACGACTACATAGATTTGCTGCTGGTGCGAACAGACTTCTTCCTCATTCCTACCTCCTATCTTCCTCCTAGTCTCTTAGGAGTCCTCTACAACACCCCACCTATCTAGCTAGTACTGTCGGCATGCAGTGTGGGATGGGGTTGGGGGGGACTAGTTCAAGTCTATGAAATAGCAGCTCAGATTTATTGAACCATTAGCCTGTTCGGTTCCTGCATCCTTCGTAAAGTCGAAACCATCAAAAGGATATCCTCGACAGTTTTGACCGTGGAGATTCTCCTAAGGCATTAATGGCTACATAGGCTTCAGTTGGTTGTGCCTACACTGCTGTGTTACTGCCCTTGTTCAGGTTTATAACTCACGTGTGTAAAAATGATTTCTGTTTTTTTTTGTCCTCTGTTTCATGTCATTTGTTCATGGACATCGCGTACTTTTGTTTTATCGAAGAGTCAAAAATGAAATTTTCACTAAAAGCTTTCTCATATTGGTCCCAGAATTGTTCTGCACTACAACTGGAAAAGCTAGAACATTTTGATATGGCATTCTTCCAACAGTAGCTGTATGAAGTAATAGCAAGGTTACGGTGAGAATTTGTACCCGCACTGAAATTCCGTTCTTGTGGAAATTGCGGAAGTAAGGGCGAAATGTACGAATAGTAGTTTCTGAGGCACTTAATGTTAATAATCACTATGTCCCAAGAATAATTTCTCTCATATTGGGTTGGAGAGAATGCGATTTGTTATGAAGCTTGCTGAGGACTGTGACATTTAGTTCATTTCTAGCAGGACAAATGTCGTGTTAAGATTGGCCCTCTCGTCCGGCACTAGCCGTCTACTATAACGCAGAATTGAATTTTGCCAAGCAGCGCTTAGAATGTGCTTGTTCCAGTGGATGGAAGACCTAGAAAATTGCCCATTATTATCGGTTTGCTAAAAACTAGTGATTGTTGCTTTCTTTACTGGTATGAAAGTGCGGGGTGATGCCGGTTACCATCGGTTTGTCAAAATGCAGACTTAGACTTTAGGCTCTTTCGTTCTAAATATATGCTCAATAGTATGGTTGGGAGGGTCATAGTCGGAGGTGTAGTTAAGGATCAGGGTGGAAAATCCTGAGGGTTACTGAAGTAGCAGGGAGTGAAAACGAAAGACGAAAGGATTGGGTGTTCAAAATTTCTGGAAGGTGAAAGGCGGAAGACAACAAAAAAATTCCCTTCTTTATCTAATTTTTATCGTTTATATTCAACTAGTAGCAGTCAGGGGCAGTATTTCTGAGTCCTAGCTCATGGCCCACGACGGAATCATTGACCATCTCGAAGTTATTCAGTAATGTCATGTCATTATTTTCAAATAAATAAAAATACAAATCTATTCAATCAGGTTGAGGCATTGATGGAGTTGGCATCAAGTCCACTGAGTTATAGCTTTTCTGATTAAACTGATTATTGTTGTTTATTCAGGACAACCTGGAGGCTTCAACCCTTCAGCCGGCGGCGGCTTCCATCCACAGCCTAATCAAGGCGGATTCCACCCGAATCAAGGTGGATTCCAACCTAATCAAGGTGGATTCCGTCCGCAACCCAATGCAGGCGGATTCCATCCCCAAGGAGGATTCCAAGGTGGCTTCCATCCCAATCAGGGAGGGTAAGTCTTGAAGAGTGCCTTTGATTTGTACTCACTGATAAGATCAGTACTTCAGTTTCCGCCCTGGCAGTGGCCTTGGCTCTTCGTCTAGCAGTTCAGCGTTCAAGACAGCTCTTGTCGGAGGTGCTCTCGGTGCAGTCGGAGGTAAGTCAGCGGGTAATGCACTCCCATCAAAGTTGACATTCTTGTAAAAACCTCTTGAGATACGATTCTCGAAATTTCCAGGTTTGGTGGCTTACGAAGCCGGTAAGGCGATCATCAAATCGGCAACGCAACCGTTCAACCACAATGGCAACAACTACTACTGGGATAACAACTATCAACAGAA